GAAATACATAAGCTTGTCATAAGTTATTTTATTAGAATTGAGCAGTTATAATTCAAAATCTCTACTCATATTATTAACGCCAATTTTAGGACAGAAAAAAATATACCTAAATAACTTTAATGGGAAACTTCTGCCTGATGTTTCTTACATATTTCTTCTATGTTGGGACGTATATAAGACAATGCCTCTAAATTTGTCAGTCTTTCCTTTTTTATTTTGGATTTTGTATTGGTTTTAATGTGGAAAACCCAAGTTCACATAAACATGAAGTTGAAAAAATTAGTAAAATTTTTATGGCTTTTTTTATATCAGTGGATATTCTTGTTGGAACGATATCCAGAATTCATCAAGATTCGTTTCAGCGTGTTTGATTTTCATGGAGCAGTCAGGTGACAAGGATATAAGCTCCTCTTCCTCTGAGACATTACATTCAGAATTATCATATAATTCTTTTGAAATAAATGGATTCCTAATCCAGTAATATTTGTCCGTGTCGAGAGAATGAAAATATTTTCTTACGTTGTTTTCTACTATTGCTAAATGTTCTGATATCAAGGAAACAATATCGGTATTATTCAGTATGGAAGGAAACATACTGAGATTATTTTCTTCTACTCTTTTTTTCCAAAGAATGATCTTGTGGAAAGCTGATAGTTTGTCCGTTGATGTTAAGATGTTTTCCTGTACACCTTGCATGGTAGTATTCACAATGTTCAAATAATTAAATATGTCCGTTAAATATCCAAGTTTGGCACACCACATATCATTTTTAAGATTTTCTGAAAAGCACATATTTTCTTGTTCGAAGAAAACTATCAATTCTTTTTTCAGTTCCAGTACACCAAAAAGCATTTTTTCTCGAGAAAGCCACCTGATTTCTGTATGAAAAATTAACCCTTCATATTTTGCTTCCATCATTGCACACTGTTGTTTGAAAATTCGGGATTTCAACGGTCTCGTCTTTATGTAATTTGCCATATTAACAACGCTAGTAAGAATATCTTTTAATTTTGCAGGTAATGTTTTTGCAATAAGCAATTCCCTTTGCAAATGTCACAAATCCCTTGACTGAGCCTATCATTGATGGAGCTCCATCAGTGCAGATTTCCACGCATTGTTCTAACTTCAAATTCAAACGTTCAAAGAATTGATAGCATTATAAATGGCTTCTTCACTCGTTCTTTCTAGTAACACTCTGCAACACAAAAATTCATTCACTATTCTATTTTCTTTAACAAATCGAATGTATCCAAGTAAAATGGCTTTTCCACTAGTATCTGTTGATTCGTCAATTTGAAGAGCGAAAGATATAGTGTGAAGTTTACTTGCAAGTCGAATACGATTGCACACTTTCCGATTTCCGACTAAATCTGCGAAATACTTGGGAGATGCTTACGGAACACCGGTTGGGAACCACTGATTTAGAATATTTTTCCTATCCAAATTATTCGTTTTGGAGGTTTTTTTTATTTGCGATAAGATCGAAGGCAAACTTAAAAAGTTTAATTGATATAACAAAGCAATCCCGGTAGACGCCATTTTCGACTACTGGCACGTGGCCTACCTACTGTAGTAGCTTGTTTATATTTACGGCTGGCAGATGGCGCGTTTCAATTGTAGGGTAATTTCTGCATGCGAGTACACGCGATACGGAAAGACGACGGAACGGCAACTGTTTCCGTCGTTCGTTGCCGCATGTGAGTACCAGGATTTATTGTGTGAATCTAAGGATGACTCAAGATATATAAATTTCAGTTCGCAAAGTTTGTAAGTCCTGTTGTCAAGTTCGAGACCTGTCAATCTGTTCATTCTTCACCCGATCTATGGAATCTGATACAGTCCATTATGTATGCAGTCTGTATGTTTAATTTGTACAGTACTTTTAAGTTGGCTGAGGAGAGGCTAATGCCCGAAACGCGATTTGTAACTAGCGTCCCAACCGAATAAAGTGATGGATAATCTGCCAAGTGTTTAAGAGAAGTCACGTTATTGTGTCTGAATAAAGCAAATTAAATTAAAACACGGTTTCATCGGAATAAAAAAAAAAAAAATTCATATTTTATGCGACGAGGGTCGCAAAAGATATTAATGCGGGCCGCAGGTTGCCCATCCCTGATCTAGAATAATACTATTTTGGGAGAATTTGTTTCAGATTTCAGGGGAAACTTAGTTTTAAGGTCCATTTACACACCTGTCCGCTCAGTGCAGTGAATTTTTGCCGGTGGGAAATCGTTGACCTAGTTTTAAATTACCCTGTCCAGACTTGTCCGTCACAGAACTTTGCAGTGGAGGGGGCTTGACCGTAACATGAAAGTACTGTACTGTACATTTGACCCGAAGGACATTTTCACTGACGGTAAATTTTGTTTTCCAATGGATGACGAACGTTTAATTGAAATGGTGCATCAACACTTCTATTTGATTTGTCTCATTCGAAATACATGGACATTGAGTACAAAATGAATATTTGGAGTGAAATAGGAAAGGAATTGAAGACTGATAAGTAATTTTATAAAATATTACTTTTAAATATTTTATTTTTTTTTATTTAAATCAAAATAATCAATAATTAATTATAATCAAATACAGGTATTTTACTTTACTTCTTTATTTTAATTATTAACAATTCTAAAACATAAATTTTTAAAAATTTTTTCTTTCTGCCACGGAACAGCCCCTACTTCTGAATTGAAATCTTTGTATAATTATCTTACACTGAAGGCTCCATTTGTTGAATTTTTTCCTTGAAGAGGGAAGTTGAGTACAACTGCCTCATTTTTATCATTCGCATCAGCTGTAAGTTCTCTGGTTTGTATACGACTGTTATACGAATATTTAATAATTAAATTATGTAATACACAAATCGATATTATATAGTCTACATTTTCCGGTAGTGCCTGAATTCGTCTATTGTATATTATGAATTTTTGAGTCAGAATCCCAAAAACATTTTCCACAATTCTCCTTACTCTACACAAACGATAATTAAAAACACGTTTGGGAATAATCAGTTGTCCTCTCGGATATGGCCTCATCAAATACTTCCTAAAAGGAAAAGCCTCGTCCCCTACAATTACGTAAGGAGCTTCATTTGTTGTACTTTACCTGCCAAGCAGAGCATTTTGTGGAATAGATAAAATAACTCGTTCGAGTGATTTTCCCAGATTAGACTGAGCGAAAATCCCGCCATCGCTATTTTTTTCGTAGGATCCAACATCTACAGCTATAAATCTGTAGTTAGCATCTACAAGTGCTAACAACGCTACAGAGAAAGTTTTCTTATAGTTAAGAAATTGGGATCCGCTGTTAGGAGAAACTTGGATGACTAAGTGTTTGCCATCTATTGCTCCTAAACAATTAGGAAAATTCCAAAGTTCGTAAAAATGCTTAGCAATATCTCGCCACTTTTCTTCTGTAGGTTGAGGCAACATTTCTTTCACGAGTCTTTCCACAATCACTCAATCACTTTACAATTTGATGTACCATACTGTAGCGTGTCCAAGCTGGTAACTGAACGAAATTGTGGTCAGTGAATCCCGTGGCTAAAAACCTAAAAAAAAAAAAAACAGAAACAGTAATAAGCATAATCCCATGACGTGTTATGTTATTTATTGATATTTATTATAATGTTATTAATGTGTTTTATACCTGCTATGTTAATTATATATATATTTTTAATTTATAGGACCAACGTGTAAGATGGAGTAATATTCATGATAATTATAGAAAATCATTTAAGAAAATTGCAATCAAATGTGGCCAAATGGCAAAACGAATTAGATCAATTAAGCTTTCTCAACAAATTTTTTGATGAAAGAGAAACAAAAGGAAATATTGAACCTTGAGAGGCTAAATTGAAGGTTGGAAGACAAGATAACGAACTAGATCATGTACTGTACAAGCTATGAAGGAATCCACAGTAAATTCACCTGACCCACAAGACTTTAGGAGTGATGATTGCTGTACAAGTCACACTAATGCTCAAACTTTACAAAAGACATTTAAAAAAAGAAAGCAGATACCACAAGAAAGTGCTTCATCCACATTGATGAAATATATTCTTTTGAAAAACACAAGCCAAAATTCTACACCTACAACTCATCCAGTTGAAGCTTTCTTGAGTAGCATTTCTCCAACTTTAAAAACGTTAAATCCATATTTATTGAATTTAGCAAAATCAGAAATATTTGCGATAGTACAAAAATATGAAATGAAAATGCTTACACAGCAGCCAACACAAGCACAGGAAGCATACAGAATTTTGCCAGAACCCATGCTAAATACTTTTTCGTATGCTTCAAGCAGCTCAAGTCCATCATCAAATGATCATGAATTTACATTACTAATACCAAATTCCATAGAACAAGACAATATTAAATATCAATATAGAAGAGACAATATTAAACAATTTAAGTCTGAATTTTTATTTAATTGCTTACCTGAGAAACTGCTAAACGTTCCTTCGGTGTTATGGCTAATCTCCAATGAGTGTCATGTTTCTTCAAATATTTCTCTGTTTTGTTCAATAAAACATGAAATGCATGTTGGGACATTTGAAAATATTCGAAAAATTTAGATTTGTCATCTATTAATTCTTTATGAAAGAGTTTCATACTCTTTTATTCTTAGATTCTTCATCTATTAATTCTTTATAAAAGAGTATGAAAGAGTCTCATACTCTTTTATAAAGAATTAATAGATGAAGAATCTAAATTTTGAAACTCCCCTTCCATTGACCTTTTTGTCCATGCTTGATGTACACACTTCGACACTTTCTTGATTGCATTTCTTTTTCTTCATCATCCAAATATATAGCTATCATAGCCAATTTATCCTCAGAAAAGTCCATGACCACTCACCGAGAGCACAAAACAAATACTGCGCAGTTACATCACTGTTGTGGGTAATTACTCATCACTGTGCTGTTCTCGATGTCACTGTCACCAAATGGTCACTGTTGTGTGTAAATGGACCCTAAGAAGGAATACCAGGTCTGTTTAGGGGGATTTTTGCAACAGAAGGTTGGAAACACTGCAACATGCTCATTTTCTTTCACACACAATTTTAGGATCGCGTTACATTGGTAAATCGGGCTGCCTGCATTTTCTATTCTTCTGATGATAAGTAATTTTAAGTATCTATCCAAAATTTAAAAAATTATATTAAAAATGTTTATTCCTTTCCTAATTTCATTTTTGTAAAATTTTATTGTTTCAAGAACAAACTTTTGTATACAAATATGTGCAATTATTTACATTATAGAAATGCCACATTTTTCATATTCTTGTAAAATTGAACCAATTTAAACTAATTATGTTGATATTAATTAACAAATTTGTTAGCTACTATCAATGTAATTATAAAAATGGACCAGCTCTGAATTTTCTTAGCAAGCATTGTTATATAATAATCATCTCTAATACACTTTGCTGATATTAATAACAATCAGTTCATTATAAATAATAATGAAAACCCTAAAAATATAAATTTAACAAAATTGCAATAGTTTAGTAATGCTATGGCAGCATTCGGTAATACAGTGGATTCCGCTTAATTGGGCCACTGGTTAATCGAGGTAGCTGATTTATTGGGCCAAATCTCAAAGAACGGAAATCAAACTAATAAACTAATACATGATTTAAATGCTTAATTGGGACAGTAGAAGAAAATTAATTTAGCAATTTTTGATACATTTTAGGGATCTTCCGAAAATACTGTATATCAGCAGTATGTATCTAATTTCATTTCGGCCTAACAGTTAGCAAAGATAAAGCTATTGTGTCTTTTGCTCGAGCAATTCGGTCTTTCCGAAGGGGAGTCAGCATAGCAAGATATATCACACCTTGATCTTGTCTGGAGCTACTGACCCTGCTTTGGATTGGATCATTGTTGGTGTAATGATGATATTGTGTAAGGAACATGATTAGTCAATTTAAACTGGTAATGAACGCTGCCGAGGAGAGATCACTGAGGAACACAATTGGTTAAATTTGAATTGGTGGTGCATGCATCTGAAGGAAGAGATTGTTGGCGAAAAACATCACGCAGTGTGGCAGACCTAGATTAAAGCTATAACCAGCAAAGTTGCCGACTGGTTGGCTGTCAGCTGTCAACAACTATATATTTAGTTTGTTTAATTGGGGCACCCACTTAATTGGGCCAAAATGGACTAGTCCCAATTAAGCTGAATCCACTGTATTTAAAAATGTCAAATTTAAATTTGATTTCTTTTTTAAACTTTCAAGCCTTTACTTTTCAAGAATGCTTCATCATTAGGTTCTCTTCCCAAGAAATCTCTCAGCATATCGAATCCATCCTAAAGACAAAAATATTTTCCATAATTCCTGTGTATAAACATGACAGAGAAAAATCATACCTTTGTTCCACCAGGTGCCAAAATTTTGTTTCTGTAATCTTTTCCAGTCTGGTAATTCATGATACCTTCGGATTTGAATCGACTGAAGAACATGTCCATGCTGTACACTTCACTCCACTGTAATATAAAAATATGTAGATTTAAAACTTTTTATTATTGATCATTAATGAATAAAGTGCATGAATTGGGTTGTACTTAACAAAATTTCTATAGGGCCTCCACATTGTTTCTGGCCATGTGTAGCACCCTTTGTCAAATGTCTGACAGATGACATACTCTGTTGGTAGAACCATTTTTATGGATAGAGTGTGGGGACCATTTTATTGGAGCTAGAACTGGCATTTGTTGATGGGAATTGATCTCGAAAAGGCTCCAGAAAAAATCAAAATGAGACATGTTGGATGTTTGAGATGCTTGAAAACTTCTTACACACATTTCTGCAGCATTATTGTTACTACACCAGCAATATGGCAATGAACATTACTGTGTAACAAAATCAGCTGTTCTTGCACAAATGCAGGTCATAAGTGGCATTCAAGGAATTTCTTGTTCCACCAACAGATGCCATTCTAGCTGCATTATAATAGTCCATGTGATCTATCTGTTAAAACAATTTTGCCAACAAAGTAGGCACCTAATGGATATTTGCTATCAGGTGTTACACGTGGTCAGAGACTACATGAAAGGCCAATAAAAGTAAAACCCACTTCATATGTTTTATTCATTGGTGATGAATATTTATATCATGACCCTTCTATGTCAATGATAATATAATATTAATATTTTCATTAAACTGTTTGATCTATAGTTTCAAATAATGTTTAAGAAAATATTATTCATGGCTGTAGAATGTTATAATTCGGAATGCTCAGTTTTTTTATCTTCTAGTTTTTTCACTTTTTCATTCAATAATGTGAGGCAGGTTACTAAAGGCTGAAAACTTTTGTGTCATAATAAAAAAATTTGCTGGAAAAAGCAAAGAAAACGATCTTGTGTGACAGTAGAAATGTTCCAGCTTTCAGGGGAATCAATACTTGCTGACTCATTTAACATATGTGCATGATGAACTGCGTATCATTACTTGTTTACTATTATTCATGGAATTGTTTTTGACAAAAGAATGTTACTTATTCTTAGTTCAATTTATAACAAACAAAAACTATTAAAAACAAAAAGCACAAATCTTATAATGTAATCATTTATTCCATGTTCAAATGATATTCAAATTAACAACTCAGTAAACAGAATCAAATACAACTTACCAAATAGCTATAATATCCTGCATCATACCCATCAACTAGATGCCCAAAATTAGCAGCAAAATTAGTACCTTCTGTTGGAGGAATACCAAGTAGTGAGCAACTCAAATCATGATAAATTTGTCTTGTATCAGCCTAATATTAATAAATATTTTAATCTCAAATGACAAATTTGAATAATTATTAATAAATCTTCTTTCCTTACTTTTGGATTGGTGTGAATGTTATAATCAAGCATGCTTAGGGCTACTTGACGCAAATTAAAATAACCAACATTAGCTAAACGAGAATGTACAAGAGATTGTAAAATATTATCTGGTAGAGGACTTCCATCTTTGTAATGTCCAGACATTCTTCTTAGGGTTTCTGGTTCCCAACACCAATTTTCAAGCATTTGAGATGGTGCTTCTACAAAATCCCATTCAACATTTGCTCCACTAACAAAATAATACAAGTTTAATATTTCATTTCAAAGTAATCAGAAATTTATTATTATAATTAATTAAATATAAATAAAAATAAATTAATATGTGGGTCAGACAAATATAAACCAAACTTTTTCCCAACAGCAGAAGGGGCAAATGTACACAGTCCCAACTATGTATAAATATTAGTTGTCATGTGTAGACTGATTTCCTGCCATGCACAATGCATTATAATCAAGTTTTTAAAATGTGAATCTAACCAAGATTTTGTTAAGTATAAATATACAGTTTGGGAATGAAATAGATGCAAATATTTGCATGGCATATGGCATTTGCTAGTGGATGTAACAATATGCAAAACATCATATATCCATGTTGCCCCCAAGACAAGCATAATGTCAGATAACATTCAAGTAGTTTGAAGCCTTGTTGAAGGTGTCTAGATGTTAATAGTGGATGAAATTTATACAGGAATTAGGATAAGCCATAGCAGCATGTAGTCCATCATTTGGAATGTGTTAAATTCAAAAAAATTGAAACTTGATGGGTTCCATACCTTTGAATTAGATCAGAAAGCTGTTTGATTTGAAGTTTCTCAGAGACTGCTAAATTTGTACAAGGTAGAGGGGATGTCCTTTTCAATTTCATTGTCATCTGTGATGAGTCATAAATGCATCATTATACCACAGACTTAAAACAAGCCAGTATGGAATTGTGGAAAAAGGATGGAGTAGGTCCTATGAAGGGAAAAACAGTTGTCTGATTAATATTCTCATCATTGTTTTGAGATTATAGAGGCATTGTATATGTTGATTTCCTCCAGTTAATGCTGCCTACAACTGAAAACTGTTACACAGAATCAAGGCAGCATTTTCAGGTGAAATTCCTGTTCTATTTCATTTCTGATGTGTTCTATTTTCTTTCAAATTTCCTTTTTTAAATTGGTGGACCGAAAACATTTGTGATACATTACAAAATAACTGAAAAGTATTATAAGGTTAGTGCGATACATTTATGAACGCTTTGTTTACTGGATGGATTTTAAGACAGAATATTGGTCCAAAAGGCATGTTGTTCCAATCTGATAGCAATCCAATTGGGCAATCTCATCTGTTCCTAAATGGCAATGTGATGACTCACATTGAATCCTACATCAAGACAAATTAATGAAAATGCACTGGACTACTGTCAAACATCCTCCATTCAGCCAAGCTGTATTTCCATCTGATTACAACTTGTTTGGACCTCTCAAGGAGTTATTAGATGAAAATGATTCAAATATGATAAACAGTGGAATCTTTGTAAGCAACTGTCTTTGGGCAGCAGTCCACTAGATTCTACAATGGATGAATAAAAAAAAACTCAAATCAGGTGGAGAAAATTTCAAATGTTAGAGGTGTAAAAAATGACTTGTGTGTAATTTTAAAAATATTCATTTAATAGAATATGACAAAAGATTTGGTTTATATTTGACTGACTCTCATATATATTAAACAAT